TCTTATTTTTTTTTAAATTGATTTTGAGAGAGAGAGAGAAACTGATGTGAGAGAAACATTGATCGGTTGCCTCCTGTACACATCCCGAGCAGGGATTAAGCCCACAACCGAGGTATGTGCCCTGACTGGGAATTAAGCCCACAGCATTTTGGTGTATGGACGATGCGCCAACCAACTGAGCCACCTGAACAGGGCTGGGCGAATCTCAGTTTTGGCAGCTGACCCCAGAAGGCTAACTGTGAAATACAGCACTTTAGTCCCTTAGAACTCGTTAGGGAGCAGGGCAGACGATGGCAGGAGGAGGGTGATGGGTTTCTCAGGGTGACTTTTTATGTTGTTTGGTATAGGCCAATAATTTTCCAGATGTGCTTTGTATATAAATAGGTCTTATAAGAGGCTATAAATTCAGCCTGTGCTGCAGCAGCTCACTCCTGGGTCGGGAACCCAGAAATGTAGTTGAAATTCACCAATAAAATCCCTTAGCAACCAGGAAATTTCTAGGCATCTTTGTTTCCCAGTGACAATGATAATGGTATAGGCAAATTAAATTAAAATTTTGATCTCCTGGAGCAGGGCATGGGCAAGGGGAAGGTTGAGGTGTGGGGAGCCATCTTCCTGGAGGCCCTTCACCCAGTTTAAGAAGAAGAAAAAAAAAGAAACAAGAGTGCAATTTTCCGTGGGGCCACACGGTGGCAGTGTGGAGCTGAAAGTGGGTTTGAAACAGCAATGACCTTGGGGTAGGCTGGGAAAGTCACCAGCCTCCCAGCTCCAAGGCCATAGGGACTTTCCCTAAAGTTCTAGAGTCTTGGTCTCTCATTTGACCCAGTTCTCCTGAGGTACCTGGACACACGCTTCTTTCCCGTGAAGCTCAGGGAGGGTGTATGTGGCAAGGAAGGGCAAAGAGCAAGCGGTGAAAGACTGAGCCTAGAAATTCCTGCCTGGAAGAGTGAGGGTTTAAGGGAGCCAGTGGGACCTCAAAACAAAAAACAAAACTATAAACCCAGATAAGATGGAGTTACTATAATGTGTTTGGTTTAGAGGCTGGGGGCTTGGTGTAGAAGACCTCTTGAGAGCCGCCCTGGACCCAGAAACCTGTCCTGATCCCAAGAGCAAAAACCCCACTGATGTTGGGCATAAAATACCTCCTCACCCTATTGGGTCTTGTTGGCCAATAAGGCAGGGTCCCGCATGGAATTCTGCTGAAGTTCTATGGTGGGCAGTTGGGTCGTTGCTCCTTTAGAGTAAGAATTTATTGAAGAGCCCTAGCTGGTTTGGCTCAGTGGATAGAGTATTGACCTGCGGACTGAAGGGTCCTAGGTTCGATTCTGATCAAGGGCACATGCCAGGGTTGCTGGCTCGATCCCCAGTATGGGGCATGCAGGAGGCAGCCAATCAATGATTCTCTCTCATCATTGATGTTTGTATGCTTTTCCCCCTTGCCTTTCCTCTCTGAAATCAATAAAAATATATTTTAAAAAAGAATTTATTGAAGACAGGTCAACTTTATTGTGGTATACCGTTTATTCTGGCATACTGTTCATTCCCAGTTTATTATTATCATGGTATCAACTACCACCTGGTTGCCAGTAGCAAGTCAGCTTCTCTGTACCTTGTTCTAGGATAGTTTTGGAGAGGTTGTCATCCAGTTCTCACCCGCAGAGGAACCCAGAGTGAGTGGGGCAGCATGACTGTTCCCCGGAGGTGCCGATGGCATAGCACACGGGAGAAAGTGACTTCACTGTGCTAGAAACTACACAGGCGACCGTCCACATTTAGGCAGCTAACCTTCTAAGCTCACAGAGGTACCCTAAGCAAAAGGCCGCTTTATTTCTGGCAACATGGCTAGCAATGACTTTGAGCTGCAGTTCAAATTGTTAGCTGTCTCCAGTCACCAGCTTCTTGGCCCAGACTCCTCAGGACATGAAACGAGCCCTTCTCTCTACTTACCGGGGCGTCTGAGGTGTCATCTGCACCATAGACTGTCAATCAAACCTCTGTAAGTCACTTGGAACCACACTTTCAACTTGCTTCTTAAACAACTCTCCCCAAGAATGCCTGCCCGTTATAAGCAATCAGGGTGGGTGCAAATGTTAAACTCCATGATATATTTATTGGCTCTAAAATGTCCTACTTTTGAAGCCAATCATAGCGGAGTTCATTAGAGACCTTAATCATATGGTCGCAGACGTTCAGGGCTCTGTTCTCTTTGACAACAACTCCCTGATCCAAGTCTCCCCACTGTCTCTGAGCCCAGGCACGGACATTTCCCCATGCAGTTCCGAGAGCCTGCATCCAGTCAGGCCTGCCCCCCTTTCTTCTGCATCTTCTCCCATCAATAGATTTCCACCCTTCTTTTTTTATTATTAATATATTTTTATTGATTTCAGGGAGGAAGGGAGAGGGAGAGAGAGATAGAAACATGAATGATGAGAGAGAATTCATTGATCGGCTGCCTCCTGCACATCCCCCACTGGGGACTGAGCCTGCAACCTGGGCATGTGCCCTCGATCAGAATCAAACCCAGGACTCTTCAGTCCACAGGCCGATGCTCTATCCACTGAGCCAAACCAGCTAGGGCCCACCCTTCTTTCCAAGCTGAGTTCAGAAGCACCTCTCTCTGGGCTGTTTTCTCTGATTAGGTCCACCTAATCCTAACACTCTTGCACCGACTTTGCCTAACACTGATAGGCTCTGGTTTCACTGCTCTGTTAATTCCCCTCTGCCACATGTGATTTTGCACATGTTCCTGCCTGTCGTCACAACTAGGTCATGCCTGCTGTGACCCCACCCGCACAGCTGCTCAGTCTTCGTTTTACGTATGCTCCTCCCCACCCCCAGGGCCTGCCCACATTCTGCAGAAAGCAGGTGCTCTATCTGTGCGACTGCATGGCTGCTGCCGTCCCCTCTCCTGGCGTGGGACCTGTCTGCAGTGTCCCCAGGCAGTCTCTTTTGGCGGCATGGTACATGTCTGGACCTCTTCAGTTCTCTGTCGTTCTGTTTGTTTGGTGTGTGTGTGTGTGTTTTCTTTTCAAAAGAGATCAAGAAGAAGTACAGTTTCGCTTCTGGATGCAAAGACAGTGTTTTGTCAGTGTTTATTCCTCATTCTGCCCCTTTAATCAATAGAATCTCCATTTCTCCATTAAGAAAAGCTTTCTAGGGAGATATCTTCGTCCATCCTGGTTGCCGTAACAAAATGCCACAGACAGGGTGGCTTATAAACAACAGAAGTTTGTTTCTCAGTTTTGGAGGCTGGAAATCCAACATTAGGGTGTCAGCATGGTTGGTGAGGGCCCTCTCCAGGCTGTGGACTGCTCATGGCATCCTTACAAGACAGAAGGGCTGCCCTAGGCAGGTTGGCTCAGTGGATAGAGTCGGCCTGTGGACTAAAGGGTCCCGGGTTTGATTCCAGTCAAGGGCACATGGGTTGTGGTTTGTGGTTTGGGTTGTGGGTTTGATCCCCAGTAGGGGGCGTGTAGGAGGCAGCCAATCAGTGATTCTCTGCCATCATTGATGTTTCTATTTCTCTCTCCCTCTCCCTTCCTCTCTGAAAACAATTATATACATGGTTAGGGAGCTCTGTGGGATCTCTTTCATAAGAGCACTAATTTCATTCACAGGGGAATCACCCTCATCACCTAATTACCTCCCAAAGGCCCCATCTCCTAATGCCATCACTTTGGAGGTTAGGATTTCTACATATGAAGCTGGGGGGGGAGGGGGGGGAGGGAAGGAGGGGAAGCGGGGACACAAACATCCAAATCCAGCAGGAAAGAGCAACAATGGCAGCTAAGGTGAAGGGACATATAGATCAGCAAGTATTTCAAGCCATAGAAGCCAAGACAGAACCATTTCTTGGGTTTCTTGGGGAAAAGAGGAACCTGGGACTAGGAAAGCCACCCACTGCTCCCAGTACCAGGGCTAGAAAGTCATTTTCAGCCAGCAGAGGGAGCAAGTTCATAAATCATCTCTAAGATCTGAACACCACTCATCTGGAGTTTGAATTTGGCTAAGAGTATTCCTAGGGTTTCCCCTTTGGGAGATGTTTAGCTATGGTGAACATTTAAAAAAAAAAATCCTGTCTTAATTAACTGTTGAGGAAAGTATGTTGCATATTTCTCTAGTCACTGCTTCCTGCATGCAATCAATTTTAAATCGTTTTAAGTTAATTCTCTGAGGTTTTCTAGGACGAGGGTATCTGCAAACAATGACAAATTTCATCCTCCTTTCCAAAAGTTATAGCCCTTATTTTTGTCAGGTGTTTAATTGAACTGCTTAGAACTTCTAGAATGATTTTATATAATGAAGGAAATAGCAGGTTTGTGGGGATTCTTACTTTGTTCATGATCTAATAGGACTATGCCTAGGACCTTACAGTTAAATATCATGCATCTACTGATTTCAGATAAGCTATTCTTAATTGAGTTAAGGAAGTGTCCTTTTATTCCTAACTAGAGGCTTGGCGCACGAAATTCTGCTCAGGTCTGGTCCCTAGGCCTGGCCTGTGATCAGGGCCATCTTCCCGAGCTGCCCGCAGCCAGCCACGCCCCCCACCCCCAGTTCCCCGTTTGCCATCAGGCAATCAGAGTCTGCTGACCAGGGGAGGGATCCAGAGGTTGGCCATTCCCTCCAGCTCACTGGCCCCGCCCTCCACCACCAGTGGCCCTCTGTGTGTGGGGCGACCGGCAGGGCGGGGGCCTTGGCCTGGCGCCGGTCATGTTTGCCACCACCACCCCCCCGCCCCCCTCCCCCCCCAGTTCCCCATTCCATATCAGGCAATCAGAGCCTCCTGGCTGGGGGAAGGGACCAAGAGGTTGGCCTGCAGGCCCCGATCCAGCGATCAGGCCCTGTGGGCTGGGGGAAGCTCCTGTGTTGAGCGTCTGCCCCCTGCTGGTCAGTGCGTGTTATAGCGACCAGTTGTTCTGCCGTTCGGTCAATTTGCATATTACCCTTTTATTATATAGGATTGGTTAAAAAGGAAACAACAAACCAGGAATGGATATTACATTTTATTAGATTAAATTTGGGAAGTTGCTCTTGTAGTAACAGATTGTGATACTGGTTGGCGTTTATCAGGCGGTATTTTCATCTCTCGTTCATAAGAAACAGTGAGTTCAAAGGTTGAGCGATAGTGGGCCTTCTAAGTGGACTATTTAAAGTTCTGAGGGCAAAGCAGGATCACTCAGCAGGCACAGCTCTGAGAAAGGGACACACGCTGGGCTGGGCAAGAGGAAAAGAGGAACTGGTGGTTGCCGTTTTATTTAAAACGTGTAAAGAAGTTGTTCGCTGCCAATAATTAAATAGCTCAAAGGTTAATTTAATCGTAAGACTGCCAAACGCGACTCTACTATAGCTGATTAAAATCTTTTAAAACAATTTTCTTATTGAGACTTCCCCACTTTCCCTACTGATCTGCTTCAGTGAGCTCAGACTCAACCTGGAAGCTCATCCTAGCTTCCCACCTGAGCCTTTCTTGCTGAGATACAGCCTATTTTTTCCTCCCAAGCCTTGTTAAAACGCACACACACACACACACAAAAAACAGAAAGTAATTCCCTACAAAATAAGTACGAGAATTTGTAGAGAACTTGACCCCATTTAAAAAAGCAGACCCTGGAATTCACATGGCCACTTGAGAGTATTCCACAGACTCAGAGGCAGCAGGGTTCACGAAAGTCCAGAAATTGTGCTTGTGGCTTTTTGGGTCGACATTGACATAATCTGTCACGTCCTCGATGTCCTCATAGTCCAGGGCGGATGTGTTCTCTAGTCTTCCTGTGGCTGGGAAGACCACTTGGGTGTAATTCACATTCCTGGTGGCCTTGGGGGGAAAGAGCAGAGAAGTGTAGGTCCAGATTCCTACCGTGTCTGAGGCAGGACCCCAGGACTAAACTCTCACGCAGAGAGGCTTGCCCTGGGCTGGATGAGACGGAGCCTGGGTCCCAGGCAGTCACGGCCGAGAGCAGGGTCAGGGCAGTGAGGAAGGTTGCCAATGCCTTTGTTCCTCCTGTCTGCAGAGGATGAATGGGTGTAAGGGAGAGAGATGGAGAGAATCAATTCAAATGAGGTCAGGACTCAGAGCAGTGGCCCAGTGACTGGGATACCGGGAGAAGGAGGCTTCCCATTAGCACTCTCATTTTTTTTTTTTTTTTTAAAAAAAGGGTAGTGAGCCTGATTTCAGAGAGAGGAAGGGAGAGGGAGAAAGAGATTGAAACATCAACGATGAGAGAGAATTGTTCATCGGCTGCCTCCTGCATGCCTCCTGCTAGGGATCGAGCCTGTAACCCAGGCATGTGCCCGGACCAGGCATCTAACCTCGACCTCCTGGTACACGGGTAAATGCTCAACCACTGAGCCACACTGGCTGGGCAGCACTTCCATTTTTACAGCCCACTTGGACCCACTTTGCTTGGATGATCCGTGTGGACACGGGGCTGTGAGTGACCGCCTAACCACCCACTCCTGAGGGTGCTGCGGTGACTCCCAAAGCCCCTCCCTTCTTGCTCCCATCTCTGGAGCCGGGTAGCCTGAGTTCTCGGACCCCAGGCTGCACATGGAGGGCAGGGATCGCTAGGAGTGTCCATTACCTGGCAGGTGGGAGGCGAGTGGCCGGTGCTGTCCGAGGTGTCGGAGCTCTCTGAGGATGTGTGGCAGTTATCTAGAGAGAAATAGAAACTGTTCTTCTTCTAAAGAAAGCTGGAGGGTGTTAGGAGTGGACAGAGACCGTGGAAGGGAGGGTGGGACAAAGACAGAGGCAGAGCCAGCAATGCAAAGAGGAGCGGGGAAGAGAGATAAAGAGCTCCCCAAAGGGAAAGAGGGATAGAATAGAGAGAAGGGGTGGGAGACAGAGCCTCCAAAGATAGGCAGGAACATGGCCTAGAGTCCAGGCGCTGCTGTTTGTCCAGCTCCACCTGAAGCTAACTGGCTTGCTTGTGTGTGGGTGCAGTATACAGGGACATGATGAGACAGTGCGCCCCAAGCCAGCAGCTCTGGCCTCGGAAGTCATGGGCACAGGTTCTAGGCTAACCTGTCCCTAACTCCAGGCAGGTCACATCGTTTTTTGGGCCCTGGTTTTGTCCCCCATAAAACAAGAGGATTGGACGATGGTCTCTGAGCTGCCTGGCAACTAAAGGGCCTCTGAGTCTGGCCAGGTTCTGGTGCAGCTTTAGGGTCAGGGGTCATGACGAGGCCAGTGCCTGTCCCATTCTGCTGAAACTCTGAGCGGCATCTTCTGGTCCCCATGTGCCCCAAGGCCTTATCTCAGGGCTAGGAAGCCTGACAACCCGATCTCTCCAACTCAAAAGATCACAGTAGGAGGAGGGAGCAAACCCAAATCAATCAAGAGATAAGCCAATGGGAGAAAGTCCTATCTCTGGGGGGTGCTCCCCCAGGGGTCATTGTCGTGCTGCAGAAGCAACAGTTTCCACTGTGCCAACAGTGGCCTGGTGGGCCTTCCGAGCTCCGAGACAGAAAACAAGAGGGTGGTGAGCCTCGTGGTCCACTTGCCAGAGGCAGACACACATCTGAACCATCAGCAAGACTCATGTTTACTGGAGTCCCCGGATACCCGTGAGGATCTAAGACGGACACCCTGGGAGCACGGTGGAGCCAGCTTCTGGGACCAGCCAATGACACTGGCCAGATGGCAGGACGCATAGCACCAGCCACAGCTGGACGCGGGCAGAGTCAGTCAGAATCTTGGCTCCACCACTAACTGGCCAGGTGAAAGAAAAGATGCCTTAGTATTGCAAAGACAGGAGCAGACACAGCCCCCGACCCCCCTCTGCAGTCGTTCACACGTGACCAAGCCTAGCAAAGAGCTTAGACCCACACACACCCAACCAGGTCTGCCCCACTGACGGGATGAACGACTTTCTGGAAAAGATAGGGTAGCGAGGCCTCTACTGGGGTGGGTGGGAGGAATCCGGGCTGGGTTTGGGCGGCAGGGACAGACTTGGGCTGCTGTGGGGAGGCTCTTGGCTGTGTAGACGGAGCACAATACACTTTATGACGTGTTTCCCCAGCCCCGTCACTCACTCCTGTAATGGGACTCCCGCGCAGGGGTGCTGCTCTCTGCCCCAGTCTCCATCTCCTTCGTCTCCTGTGCAGCAGGTGAGCAGTGGTGGGCAGGGCTGGGCCTGGGGGCCCAGAGCCTGGATCTTCTGAGTAACTGTTCGTTCTCTTTGGCTAGAGGGAACAGGGCAAGAGTCCAAAGTGAAAGCTCCCATTTCTGAGCACCACTCTCCTTAGGGAAAATGATCAGAAGGGTCTTTTCACATCTCAGCCCCCTCCACTGTGACGCCCCTCATCTCACTTGGAGAAAGAGCCGAAGTCCCAAACTTGAAGGCCCCCCATGGCCTCCCTCCTCCTTCCTCTCTGGCCTCACCTCCTTCTCTCACGCTACCTCCTCCGCTCCAGCCACCCAGCCTCTGCTCCTGCTGTGATGTGTGAAATGCTCTCCTGTCTCAGGGCCTTTACAGGTGCAGGTCACTTCCTCACTTCCCTCAAACTAGAGGCCTGGTGCACAAAATTTATGCACTGGGGGGGGGGGTTGAGGGGGGTGTCCCTCAGCTTGGCCTGTGCCCTCTAGCAGTCTGGGAGCCCTCGGGGGATGTCTGACTGCTGTGGAGGTGGGAGAGGCTCCTGCCACCACCACTACGCTCCCCAGCCAGGAGCCTGGCTTCTGGTTGAGCAGAGCTCCCCTGTGGGAGCACACTGACCACCAGGGGGCAGCTCCTGCATTGAGCATATGCCCCCTGGTGGTCAGTACTCATCATAGCAACTGGTCATTCCCCTGTTTGGTCGATTTGCATATTAGCCTTTTATTATATAGGATAGAATGTCAGCATCTCAGGGATGCTGGCCACCACTCAATCTGTATCCCTTGCCTTGCTTTTTTCCTCCCTAGCACTTTCCATAGCCTAACCCATGTATGTTACTTCTCTTATTTGTTGTCTGTACTCCCAAGGAATGTAAATTACCTAAGGGCAGGGATTTTTTTTGTTTGTTTCCTGTTGTATTGAATGAATGAATGAATGAATGAATGAACGAATGGAGGGATGGATGGATGGATGGATGGATGGAGAGAAGTCTCAATTTCCTTTACTGGAAAAACCTTCATGACATTATCCTGCCCAATCTCCTGCCTTGGCCAAAGAAATGTTTTATTTTCCCTAATTGCAATGTCTTCCCAAGACACAGCTTCTCTACTCCCCATTGTGAAGCAGTTCAAGAATTGAAGATGGTCTCTTAGTCTAACCCAACCATACTGCCTTCTGTAGCAATTCAAAGCCCTTTCTTCACGGTCAGTCCTTTGTGGTGATGAGGAAAATTAACTAGGCCTAGGTTCAATGAGGCCACCCTTACGAGCATTACAGAAGCCTGTCTCTAGGCAGAAGGGCCAGGTAGTGGAAGGACTCCGGACTGTGATTCCCAACCAGAAACAGGTTGGGTCTGAGTGGCAACTACCCAGTCAGGATGAGGGGCCATTTGGCCAGTGAATCCTCAAGGTTTGCAAGTGATACTCAGAGACTCCAAAGGAGGCTGGCCTTGCTGCAGGCTTGGGAATGGTCCCTGGGTGTAGCTAGGAGGGGGAGAGGATGCTGAGCTGGTTACCCATGTGTCTGCTGAGCAGGTAGTAGATGGCTGTGAGGAGGCAGGCCTGTAGGACCAGGGACACGAATGCGATCACTAAGCCATGCCAGAGCTGCATGCCTCTGTTGGGAAAGGAGAGGGGTCAGAGTGAGAAGTTACAGAGATGCCAAAACAGCTGCAAACCCATCCCTGCCCGGAGCCAGAGGCCGCCCTCTGGTGTTGCTGTGTGTCTGCTCTCTGGACAGTAAGGCCTGGGAAGCCAGGGACGGGAGGGTGCACCCTGGGAAGCCAGCTATAGCAGTTAGCCTGATGGGACCTCACTCACTCTGTCAGCATGGCCAGCTTCCTGCAGGGCGGCCTGGGGTTGTGAGTGGGGCTCAGGCGCTTCCCGGTGCAGCAGGAAGAGACTTGAGAGGAGCCACCCTGGGCACCTCGTTTCCAAGTAGTGGCGCCAGCAGACCCGTCAGGAGACCTGCAGGAGGCAAGGCAGCTCTGGTCAGGACTCCTGGCCTCACGCGAACCCAGTTCTCCTCGGGCAAGTCAGCTGCTTGGGGCCATTTGCGCTCCTTTCCCAGAGCCCCAAGTGACTGTGCACAGAATGAAAACCGCAGAACTAAGATGCTGCAAAGAAAAACGCAGGGATGATCCAGATAAAGCGAGACGGGGTTTTCAGGAAAAACAATGATCGTGAAGGATTTAGTGCCTTGATTGAAAAAGGGCGCAGATATATTTTAGTGCAGATACTTCTCAAGCAAATCTCAGGACCGGACTGATTTCTGGGGCAGCTGCAAAAGGAAGACTGGACTTGACCAGGAGAGCTTGATTGCGGCAAACAGCCGGAGCTAGGCCCATATGTCTGCAAAATCAACAGCGTTCCACTTTTAAGGCGCTCTTTGGTATTTTAAAGAATATATCTTTTTATTGATTTCAGAGAGAGAGGAAGGGAGAGGGAAAGAGGGATAAAAACATCAATGACGAGAGAGAATCATCGATTGGCTGCCTATTGCAACGCCCCACACTGGGGATCGATCCCGCAACCTGGGCATGTGCTCTGACTGGGAATCGAACCATAACCTCCTGGTACATGGGTTGTTGCTCAAACACTGAGCCACACAGGCCAGGCTCTAATGCTTTGGTATTGATTTACTTCATGTTGAATGTCTCATATGTCCTTAATCACAGAAGTCGTTCTCCTCCCATCGAAGTGGGTGGCCAGAAAGATACCAGGGCTGGGTCCTGATACCACACTCAAAGTTTAATTTTTTTGAGGTTCCTCTTATCCTTTATTTATTAAAAATTAAACAATGAATATATTTATAGTGGAAGCAATTTTATAAAATCAGCAAAGCATTTTATAAAATCAGCTTAAATTTTTTTTCCATGAAATTGTCTATATATTTTCATAAGATATACTTTGTGAATGTGTGAATATATATATATATATATATACATATATATGTATATATATAATAATCATTTTAAAACATGGGATCATACTAATTAGCAGCTTTTTCTTTTCATTTAGTGTATTATAAATATGTTTTGAGATCAGAAAGAACTCCATTAAAAAGCTCAATCTGGGGGCCCACAGACCAAAGCTGGTGCCTAGGCTATTTTGTTTGATGATGTGCTTTAAAGATTTAGGGACGTGTACTCTTTAGCCCCTGGCTGATCCCCGAGGGCATCTGAGCTTGCCATCCTTGACTTTTATAGAATCATTTTAAAGTCCTACTAGTCCACTTTGTCAGTGTTTCTTAGCCGTCTCTGATGTTTGGAGCCAGTCAGTTCCTTGTTGCCCGAAACTGTTTTGCACACGGATGGGCATTTAGCATCCTGAGAGCCCACCAATGTGACAGGTCAGTGCAACAACCACAATGACCAAATATGACCCCACACATTTCCAAATGCCCCCTGAGGCAGGCGCTGTTGCCCCCAGTTGAGAATCACTGCATTAAATAAATGTTCCATTATTTTAGACCCAATCCCTTATTTAGCTCCTTATACAAAACTAGGTTGCCTAGACCAGTGGTCGGCAAACTGCGGTTCGTGAGCCACATGCGGCTCTTTGGCCCCTTGAGTGTGGCTCTTCCACAAAATACAGACGTCTGCGCATGGGCCGCGAAGTTTCAATCACACTGTACGTGCGCGCCCGCACGTGGTATTTTGTGGAAGAGCCACACTCAAGGGGCCAACGAGCCCCATGTGGCTCGCGAGCTGCAGTTTGCCAACCACTGGCCTAGACTTCATTGCATCGTCTCAATATATATGAGCATCTTGCTAGCCAAATGGCGCACAGCCTCTGTGCCAGGATACAGCAGGAGAGTCAAACAGGATGAAATGGGGATCCAAGGTTTGTTCCCTTCTAGATGTGAATTATTGAACTTTTCAGTGACTCGGTTTCTGTACCTGTAATAGGGAGAGAAGGATAGTATCTGGGTGGGCTTGGCGAGTGATGCTGTTCGTAAAGAACTTTCTTTTATTTTTTTAATATATTTTTATGGATTTCAGAGAGGAAGGAAGAGGGAGAGAGAGATAGAAACATCAATGATGAGAGAGAATCATTGATTGGCTGCCAAGCCTGCAACCTGGGCATGTGCCCCTGACCTGAATCGAACCTGGGACCCTTCAGTCCACAGGCCGACACTCTATCCACCAAGCCAAACCAGCCAGGGTAGAACTTTCTACAATGCCAGGCATGAGGAAAACCCTCAATAATTATTAGGTATTATTCAACCTCAAACACTCACCACCATGGCAGCTAGAGCAGAGTTATTAAAATTGGGTTGGTCTATTTTAGGAACCTTAGGTATTCGTTTTGCGTAGTTTGGAGATAAGATCCAGGACAGGATGAGGTATGAAAATCATGACAGATGTCATTATTTCAGTGGCTAATGGCCCCCAACCACAGCGAGCAGCTTGTTCCCTGGGGTATAATTGCAGACTGCTGATCAGGCAGCCGGCAGAAACATCTGCTCATCTGCACACACACATAGCCAGCGCCTGGGAAATGAGCAATTTCAGGTAATTCTGTTGTGAAAACTGTCCGGACCATGTTGGAGTTGGTACACCTTGTTCCATCATCAGTATGGGAGCTGTCCCGCCCCCTTTCACGTCGCTGAGTTTGACGCCCAGACCCACCCTAACGCAGTAACCCCGCAGGCGCCCCAAGTCCACCCTTCAGCAGAGAGCTTTTCCTCTGTTCCCTTCAGACCTGGTAGAAACCCTGAGACCCCCGCTTAGGCTGGGTCCATGTTCTGCTGATAAAGGAGCTCGCAGGGCCCTTCTAGTAATGCAGCAGACCTGTCAGGGGCGAAGCGATGAAGACGCGCCTCTTCCTGCCTGCCGCCTGCTTTCCTTGGCTAGTCGTTCTAGAAAGTGGTTTAATGCAGGAGCATGATAGAAGATGATTTATAGCGGTCTTTTAAAAATAAGTAGCTTTAACATTTTTAAAGCTTTTATTAAGATTACTTTGCAATCTCCATTAATTTATTGTTTTAAAAATTTGCCGAAACCGGTTTGGCTCAGTGGATAGAGCGTCGGCCAGCGGATTGAAAGGTCCCAGGTTCGATTCCGGTCAAGGGCATGTACCTGGGTTGCGGGCATATCCCCAGTGGGGGATGTGCAGGAGGCAGCTGATCGATGTTTCTCTCTCATCGATGTTTCTAACTCTCTATCTCTCTCCCTTCCTCTCTGTGAAAAATCAATAAAATATATTAAAAAAAAATTAATAATTTGCCCCAAACAAGAGAAACAAATTTAAAAAAAGGGAAAAAATGGAGAAAAAAATTAATAATTTGTCCTGGCCGGGTGGCTCAGTTAGTTGGAGCGTCGTCTTGTGCACCAAAAGGTCTTGGGTTTGATTCCTGGTCATGGCACATACCTAGGTCTCAGGTTCAATCCTTGGTCTATAAATTAGCAAAACGGATGCCATAGGCACAGAAAACGTAACCAGATCAAAACCGAAACGAAAAGACAAGAAAGAAGTTTGGGAAGCAGCATGGTATCCTGGTCATGTATGGGAGGCAACTGATCAATTTTACTCTCTCACATTGATGTTTCTCTCTCTCTCTCTCTCTCTCTCCCTCCCCCTCTTTCCTCTCTCTCTAAAAAAATATCAATAAACATATCCTTGGGTGAGGATAAAAGATTAATAATTCGAGCTATAACACGTTGTGTGGCATAGTGGAAAGAGAACGAGACAGGAAGATGAGAGCCTGGCTTCTCCTGGCTGTCACCTGCTGACTGCGTGACCCGGGACAGGTAGAAGTCCTTTCTAGGCCCTGCTGAGTTAAGGGCTCCACAAAGTACCCCTAAGGCTCTTTCTGTCCCTAAGCGTTCTGTTCTTTCAAGGCCAGGGTAGAGGATGGGAAAAGGGAAACAAAGGTAGATGGAAAGAGAATATTTTCAAAGAAAAAAACCTTTGTTCCATTTTATAATTTTACAGAGCCTCCTTCACATAGACATTTTCTCCTAATTTAATATACAGTTTTGAATAATCAAGAAAGGGAGAAAACATAAATAAACTGAATAATGAATGAATATAACCACCGAAACAGAGATAAAAATTGTGAGGCTACTAAGGGCTTAAAAAAATCTCAGTAAAATGAATGATTTCCTAAAAAACTATAAACTAGCAAAGCTGATGCCACAGGCACAGAAAACTTAAAGAGATCAAAACCGAAACAAAAAGACAAGAAAGAGGTTTGGGAAGCAGCATGCTATCTTGCCGCTGAAGGCAGATAACTTGGAGTCAGACAGCCTGGGCTCACATCCCAGCTCACTCTCTGCAACAGCTTGGTCTAGCTGTTTACCCTCTCAAAGCCTCAACTTTCTGATCTGTAAGATGGGAACAATAATAACTGATTCTCCGATGAATATAAATGACACCTACTTCTGAGGATGAAATGTGAGATGTGTGAAGCAGTCATTATAGCTTTTGTCACATAGTAATAAGCATCCAATAAATGACAGCTATTGTTATTTAGAAATTAAAAGCATTACTAGAATTATCTACTAAAATTTGGTGTCCATATACTAGTTTTACAAATGAGTTATTTTAAACTTTTAAGGAACATGTGATTCCTATGCTACATAAGCAAACTCAGGGCAAAAAGATGGAAAACTGTGCAATATCATCTCACTTATGAATGCAGAGGTAAATAAATCATAACTGGCCTGGTGCATGAATTCGAGCACGGGTGGGGTCCCTCAGCCTGGCTGGCGATCGGGGCTGATTGGGGCTGTCTCTCCCAGTCCTGATCAGGGCCGGCAAGGGAGAGAGGCCGCAGAAGGTTGGCTGTGGAAGCACACTGACCACCCAGCCAGCCAGGAGCTGTGAGAGTGCACTGACCACCAGAGGCAACTGCAGTATTGAGCGCCTGCACTAGTGGTCAGTGTGCGTCATAGTGACCAGTTGACCGGTCATTCGGTCAACTGGTCATAACGATCACCTTAGGCTTTTATATACATAGATATCAAGAAGTTACTCCAGGGATGTCCAGGATTCAGTTATTACAATGATGAAAATGAATGGCGAGTATTTTCTGTGTGCTTTTATCCTTTTGCTCTACAAAAACAGACATTATCACCATTTCCTAGACAAGAACAGTAGACTGGATGAGGTTGAGCAACTTGTCTGGGCTCCCCTCTGGAAGAGTCAAGTTTTAAACTCAAGCCCATCTGACTTCACAGCCTAATTCTCAATCATTACAAAAAACTGCCTTTTATGTAATATAAATACAGCATCAGTAAACTAAAATTTAAAATAATGATCTCAGTAAATGCCAAAAGACATTTTATAAAATTGAATGCTCGTTTCTTATTTTTAAGTTATACAATAAAAATATGAGGATTGTTTCTTAGTCTAACAAAGAATATCTCTTCTATGCCAATAATCCACTCCTTACCAAATGGCAAAATATTTTAGCAGTTATTTGAGAACAAGGATGTCTGCTATAACCATTTTTTTTAAAAAGTTAGTTCTGGAAATTCTAATTCCTGGAAGTGTGAAGTTTCTCCAACCTTCAATCTATGATAATAAGGATATTGAATATTTATTGAGCATGTCCTGTGTGGCAGACACTTACCTATATTAACTCATCCAATTCACACAACTACCCTAAAGGTAGATCTATTATCATTCCTATTTTACAGAGGACAAAAGTAAGACACAGAGACGTTAAGTACTTGCTGAAGATAATGAGAAGAATTAATGGGGCTTTGTGCCCTGGTGGGCTGGCAATGGAGCCTGAGCTAATAACGATGCATGAAGGAAATGAAAGTGTAGTTTTGGGCAAGGAGAAGTCAAATTCATCCTTATTTGCAAAATATGTGATTTTATACCTAGAAATCCCCAAAGAATCTATTGAAAAACTAGTGAAATTAACAAGACTGCTCAGGGAAGTCCTGAGGGCATGATAAATATTCTAAAATTCCCAGCTATTCTTTCTATTATTCCAGTAACAGCCAGTTAGAAAATAGAATTGGGGGCGGGGGTGGGGGTGGGGGGGCGGATGGGCATCCATGAGCCTTAGCAACCATCACAATAGATATATCTAAGAATAATTTTATTTATAAGAAAGTTATTTTGAAGAAAACAATAGGAATTTACTGAGAAATCTAAAAGACTTAAACTAATAGAAATACATGTTTCAGATTGGAAAACTAGAAGGCTAGAAATAAAATCAAATTGAAGTTGACTTCTTGGTTTAATTTAATTCCAATCAAAATTACAGTGAGAATTTTTGATAATTTAAAATTATTCTAAAATTTACCTGGAAAAAATAAGAACAGTCAAGATGGGCTAAAACAGGTCTAGAATGGAATGTTACAGACATTTATAATTATGTTTAGGGCCCTAGCTGGTTTGGCTCAGTGGATAGAGCATCAGCCTTCGGACTGAAGGGTCCTGGGTTCGATTCTGGTCAGGGGCACATGCCCAGGTTTTGGGCTCGATCCCCAGTGGGGGCGTGCAGGAGGCAGCCAATCAATGATTCTCATCATTGATATTTCTATCTCTCTCTCCTTCTTCCTTCCTCTCTAAAATCAATAAAAATATATATATTTTAAAAATTAATAAAATAAAATTATGTTTAGGAAGAATAAATCTGGGGAAGAAGTCTGTTTTGTGAAAAAGTGCAATACAGCTATATTTTGCTACATATAATGTGATCACAACAAGTAAACATAAAAAGAATGAAAATTCGCACCGGCTGGTTTGCTCAATGGTTAGAGCATCGGCCCTCAGACTGAAGGGTCTCCGATTCGATTCCTGTCAAGGGCACATACCTCGGTTGCAGGCTGGATCCCCGGCCCTGGTTGGGGTGCGTGTGGGAGGCAACCAATTGATGTGTTTCTCTTATATCAATGTTTCTCTCTCTGCCTCTCTCCCTCCCTTCCACTCTCTCTAAAAATCAATTGAAAAAAATATCCTCGGGTGAGGATTAACAATAACAACAACAACAACAACAACAACAACAAAAGAAGGAAAATTTGTAAAGAAAGAACACTCTGGGTCATTAAGCATTTTGTCTATCACATTAGTTTAGTAATAACTCTCCCTAAATCACCTCATCCAATTCACCAAATCCAGAATAGTTCATGGACAATAATTCTGTATATAAAATATAAATTTATTCATGAATATAGATTTATGAAAATTGGGGATTTTATTTAAATATACTTTGTTCAAAAGGGAGAAAATAGGCCCAAATGTTAACAAAACTAGGTATTGGTATTGTGGATAATGTTTTATTTAATTCTTGATACTACCTCTTATTATCGAAGTTTTGTGCAATTAACATGTATCTTTTTTCCAACCAGGAAAAAAATAATATTTTTAGAGTGTTGTAACAAGCTCAGAAATTCTGTGCAGATTAAATGATCATAGTACCAAATGTACCTATAAAAAAATTTATTTACATCTAAATTGCATCTCACCATATTAATAGAACATTGAGATAACCAGCTAAATGTGTGCATTGCAATCAATCAGAAGTGTACTGAGTGGTCCGCACGGTACTGTGTGAACTGCTCTGGTAGACCCGAAGGAGGAGAGAACGCCATCCAAACGCTACAGGTGGATTTAAAAAAAAATACTATAAATGTATTTTCTCCCCGTTATGATTTTCAAGAGCTCGTGTTTTACTTCGAAAATCAAGACGTTGATGTGTGAGAAAGTAAAAAAGCAGAAGAGATGGCACACCAAAGCGTGATGACTTGTCAGAATACGTGCTATTTCAGAGGAAAAAGAGATCCGCGCAATAGAACGTTCAGAGAGGGGTCACTGAGAGGGAACGATTTGAAGAACAGGTAGGTAATGGATGGAGGGTGAGTGGGGGAACAGCAACCAGCGAAGGGTGTCTCCTCTCCCTGACTGTAGAGGACGGCATTGATGGAATTGCTAGTCTTCTACAAAGTTCAACACAGAACTGATACACATGGGAATAAGGCAATATGGGAGAAAGCGGGGTACACACAGGCAATCTCGCATGCATGTGCAGGAGAGTGGGGAGCGGCAGGCGCCTGCGACCAGACAGACTGGTTTGGGAATTTCAGCTCTGGCCTTGCTGGCTGTGATGTGCTTTCTCTCTCCAGGCCTCGGTGTTTTAGCTGAAAGATGAGGAGGGCACTTGTTTCATTTCTTTCACTCGCACACATTGTGTGCTTACCATGTGCCAGCATCGCACAAAACATTTTGCATAAAGTATCTCGTTTAATCCTTGGAATAACAACCTTCTGAGGTCGATACTATTGTCCCCATTTGACGAATGAGAAAACCAGGCTCTAATCCCCCGTGGAGGAGACAGAACTCGGACCCAGGCTGTTTGGGTCAGAGCCTTCGCTCACTGCACACAGTACCGTATTCAGCCTTAGTCCAGAGCCTGGCATATGCAGTTGACCCCTGGACAATACAGGTTTGGACTGTGTGGATTCACTTATAGGCGGATTTTTAAAAAAATACTATAAACGTATTGCCCTTCTTTATGATTTTCTCAATGCCATTTTTTCTCTCACTTTATTGTAAGACTACATTATATAATCATATAACATACAAAATATGTGTTAACCCAGCGATTTTCAACTGGTGTGCCACAAGAATTTTTAAGACATAGCATACCTATTTAGTCAGGGGCTCTGAGCTCCTTTCCCTGAGAGCAGTGGTTCTCAACCTGTGGGTCGCGACCCCTCTGGGGGTCGAACGACCCTTTCACAGGGGTCGCCTAAGGCCATCGGAAAACACATATATAATTACATATTGTTTTTGTGATTAATCACTATGCTTTAATTATGTTCAATTTGTAACAATGAAAATCCATCCTGCATGTCAGATATTTACATGATGATTCATAACAGTTGCAAAATTACAGTTACGAAGTAGCAACGAAAATAATTTTGTGGTTGGGGGTCACCACAACATGAGGGACTGTATTAAAGGGTCGCGGCATTAGGAAGGTTGAGAACCACTGCCTTAGATTGTCAAATAAAAAAATGACAACTGCCAACACAATAGCCGTCTGGTGTGAAGGAATCAAAAGTATACCTTTCTTTTGGTCAGATCGGCAAAAAATATAGTATATTTTTGGTGTGCTGCAGAATTTCAGTAATTAGTAATTTTACTAATTAGTTTATGTGTGTCGTGAGATGAAAAAGGTTGAAAATCGCTGTGTTAACCACCTGTTGATGTTTTTAGAAAAGCTTCTGGTCAACAGTAGGCGATTCGTTGTGAAACTTGGGGGAGTGAAATGTTACACTTGGATTTCGACGGCTGAGGGTGGGGGGTCTGCACTCCTAAACCCTATGTTGTTCAAGGATCAACCTCAGAGGTGCTCAACAGGGGGTGACCCTCAGACCAGAACAGAGAATCCAACCCAAAATTGGCGTAGCTGTATAAATGCACCCATTTCCATAGGGCCCTGGAAAACAGTGGGCTCACTCCTGATTTTCATTTCCAATGTACAAAACCATACAGTCCCAGGAACTCCCTGGTACCCAAACAGTCCCTGGCCCTATGACTGTCCCGTGTCCACCCACCAGGGGACAGAAAAGATGCAAATATCCAACCGTGAGAAAGAGGAGCGAGGTCTGCCAAATACCGTGGGGAAGCAGACTAGGAGGCTGGGGTGTCACCTTTGTTCTGGGTATCAGAGAAGTCCTTTCTGGATCCCCGTCAGTGCTGGTCACCATGGCAGGAGCCTCCCCTGAGGGTGGGACACATCTGGAAGAATATGAAATGGCAACCTTTAAAATTCAGCCCCTTTGGGCATTTCACTTCCTCTTTCCGAACCTGTTCCCCTGTTTATAAGCTGAGAGGGATGGGCTAACTAGATCTAATTTCTGACATTTTGTTGTTCTAGAATTCCACCCTCGTAAAATGGACATAAAGGGTGATACTCAAGTTAACCAGAAACAGCAACTTTGAGTTTCAATCAGATAGGCCTCATCTCTAGGAACACACATTTCTAAGTGCAGGCACTGACCAGTTTTTTAGAAGGAAAACAAGTCATCCCAAATTTCTAATGCATAGAAAGTACCAGAGGTGGATGCACCTTGGAAATTTGGGGGAAAGCATTTGTACAAGCAATTACTTGAAATGAATGAAACCTTGAATGTAACTCAGCTCCAAGACGAAATCAGCAAGTACATAAAGAATTGCCAGCAGCTTAAGCAGCGCTCATGGATTCCTCTGCTAGTTCCCACCAAGCCCCAGGCGAACTGGGAGAGCCACATGGTTCTGTTTCATTGATTGCCCGACCAAGTTTCAGAGCAACAAAGCACCGACAGATTATGCTGTTGTGAGCACTTCGGTGGCTGGGACCATATTTCACACTCCACAGTACTCAGAGGTGATGGATGGGGAAAAACACTTCCTGGCATTCTGTACACATTGCAATTAAATCGATTTGCATATAATAAATACTGTTTAACCTTGGGGGAGCCGCTTAATGGCCCAGACCCCAAAGTCTCTGTTTTCTCCTCCGTTAATAGGGAAGTCAAGTGTCTCCCTCACAGAATTTGTCAAGAGGGGTACGCGAGACCTTGGACCCTTCCAGCACTGGTCCTCCCTCGCTGGGTGTCAAGGCCTAGCTTTATGGCTTTTCTCTTCGACAGCATGCATTTTCTGAATCCCATTCATAACATTTTAATTATTTTTTATTATGTTTTTATTGATTTCAGGGAGGAACAGAGAGGGGAGAGAGATAGAAACATCAACGATGAGAGAGAATCATTGATCGGATGCCTCCTGCACAGCCCGTACTGGGGATTGAGCCTGCAACCCCGGCATGTGCCCTGACTGGGAATGGAACCGTGACCTCCTGGTTCATAGGTTGATACTCAACCACTGAGCCACACCAGCCGGGCTCACTCATAACATTTTTAAATTGCCAGGCTGGTCCGCTTCCCTCCACATATACCAGTCCTTTGCAGCTCAGAGTGAATCTTAAGGAAAAAAATACCTGCAGGGAGATGTTCTCAGGAACCTGGTTCCCAGTGAAGAAGAGTAATTAATTAATAGCTACTACTGGAGCACTGAACTGGGCACTACATGTCTGTAATCCTCATAATAACACTGGGTACTTTGCGTGGCTTTACGCCCATTTCCCAGATGAGGAAACTGAGGCTTTACAACAGTTCAGCAGAGTTCTCTGGATCCAGTTCTGTCTGGACTCAAAGTCTGTGCACCCCTTAGCCAGAGGCCTGCTGGTTGCTGCTGCTACTGCAGGCAGATCTTTTGTCTCAGGGACCAAGAGACTAATGTCATAAAGAACAAACTGCAATTGAATTCCACCTCCTGCAATGTCAACACATAATTGGAGAATCCCCTCTGAAACCTCTACGTAGATATGCTCGCACAGACACACATTTCTCAAAATCATTTAAAATCCTACCTGCCCTGACAGTACTTACCTCCGGGGCCATGAGCAAGGTCTGATCCCAGCCTGTGTTTCAGCGATGTCCTGACGGAAACATCTCCCCACTCCCCCACCCCGAAGCTTCTCAGTCACTGGAAGTCAGTGGCAAATGTTTCAACATTTCCAATAGGGTGGGGGCTGCTACTCAGAAGATAATGATCTAGCTCAGTTGAGTAGAGCAGGGGGAAGCCACAGATGACACCTCCTCTTTTAGCAGGGCCCTACCCTGCTCCTTCGTGCAGGCAGCTTACTAGATGGAGGAGATTAGTGGTCTCTTTCTCTCCATGTGAGCTCCCGTTTAAATACCACGAATATGCACAGCACCTGGTAGAGTGGAAGCTCACTGGAAGAGGAGTCAAGAGGCCTGGGTTCAAGCCCCAGCTCTGGCACCAACTCGCTGCATGAGCTCAGACAAATCTCTTTCTCATCAGGGCACTCATGTCCTTCCTCTATAAAATGAAGAAGTCGGTTTCTAGAGATTAGCGAAAGTCTCTTCCAACCTGGCCCAACTCTGAATTTGTGCGTGGTGAGGCCGTAGATTGGGACAGTGTGTATGGGGCATACGGCAACTGGTGAGGATCATTTTTCAAGAACAACTTCTTTGCCATTGAACGTGGAATCAGGCCAACCTGAGACAGCTGTTGCGGCTGTTCAGCGTGACTTCCTAGCTGGGCTCTCTACACCCTCGGGCTTTGCCCTGCCCATTTCAACATACACTTCCCTGTGCTGCCAACTCTGCCATGGCCTCTAAGTCATTAACTCCAGCTACAGTTAACCTACGGGAACCAGGCCGAGCTTCATGACTGGCCACTTCGGTCATCCTTTTACACGAGTCCGGTGTAGATGTGGCAACAGCTAGCGTGGTGGGACATTCACACTGCTCTGCTCGTCTGTGTGGCCTGCTCTCCTCCAGTGCTCACGGCTCCAAAGAAGGATCTTTGAACGTGACATGTTTTGGGTTGTCCCAGTGTACTCTCCTTAGGATCGTGCTGCGTCAGTAGAAAGTCAACTTGACCTGGGCCACAGTGGCCTGGCGATCAGGGGCCTTGGGCCTCTCTGGACTACATTTTCGCCACATGGAATTGTAAGGAGTTTTGATTAGATCGTCCATGGCTCTGCTCTAAGTAGTAAAGTAAGAATTGTTCACCGTCTTCTTCTCTGTATCCCTGGCCTCCAAAACGCAGCCTGTACCTGGTAGGTACTCAACAAATGTTTGTGGCATGAATGAATGAGTGAATGGATTAAAGTGCTCTGTGAGAGCGGATGGGGTTTGCTCGCATCTCACACATGGCCTCACGGCACGCATTTGCTAAAGATGAGATGATTCTCTCAAATGCACTCAGCCTGCTCCTGCCCAGAGGCCACTGGGGAGGGATTCGCACTCGGGCTGCTTGAAGCACTCCCTCTCCCAAGGCTCCTATGCCAACAGGACCCCTTCCCTCTGCTGGCAGACTCCAGCCTCAACGACAGGATTCAAGAGGAGATCAAAACAGTGATAAACGAAGTTATATCACCTGTTGATGTTAAACAGGAAGCTATTTCTGATAGTTTATCACCTGATGGCGAAAGAGCAGCTGATGGAGGTGGATAACACACTTTCTCCTCTCCCCCTACCACACACACACACACACACACACACACACACACACGCACACGTTTCTAAGACCACATCCCTCCCAAGTCCTTTTCCCTTTGCACAGTGTCTCCCAGGGAATGCAGCCACTCTCTGCAGGAGAACCATTTCTGAACATGGAGTGTCAACAGGATTAGGAATTTTTGAAAGGGGCGGAAAAAGCCCTACTCACTATCCAATCTCCCTAATACATTTTTGCATAATGCTTTCCCTGCATGTTGTGGTTAAGGACCCAGTCTATTTAAAAAAATAGACTTCCAAATTGTTTTCCACATTATAACGAATGAGCTTTTAAAACCCACAACTCTTGCCCTAGCTGGGTTGGCTCTGTGGATAGAGCATTGGACTGCAGGCTGAAGGGTCCCAGGTTTGATACATGCCAGGCTCAATCCCCAGTTGCGGCGTGGGCGGGGGGGGGGTGGGGGGGTGGTGTGTGTGTGCAGGAGGCAGGCAATCAATGATTCTCTCTCATCATTGATGTTTCTATTTACTGAGCACCAGCAAGGGTACCAGTTGCTTCCTATACACTAGTTCATCTAATTCTCACAACAACTTACAAGTAAGATACTGTTTTACAAATAAATTGAAAACTGAGAAGGTTAACTTGCCCAAATTTATAGAGTTGTGGTAAGTAGCAGAATCACGATTCAAATTCAGATCTTTTATTATTATTTCAAAGGCTATATACTTTATACAATATATTTCTACCTTCTGATCCCCTAACTGACTTTCTGCACCAGTTATGAGTTATGTAAACACTCACCATGCCTTAAAGCACCCCAAGTCCATGTGAAAATACATATGAAGCACCGGTCTCATGCCTTTCCAGTCCATACACAGGAGATTCTTGTCCCCTTGGCTACTCCCACCAACCCTCCCTTTCCCTTCAGATTAAATTCTTTAAAATTTTTTTTTTGATTTTAGAGAGGGAGGGAGGGAGGAAGGAAAGGAGAGAGAGAGAGAAAGAGAGAGAACAGAGACCCATTGATTGGTTGGTTGCCTCCCGTTGAGCTCCCACCAGGATCGAACTCGAAACTTAGGTATGTGCCCTGACTGGGAATCGAACCCTCAGCCTTCCGTCGGTGCATAAGATGATGTTCCAACCACCTGAGCCACACTGGGCTCAGGGCTCAGATTAAATTCTTTATTGATTAAAGGTTTCACTCCATAAAGTTGAAACTGAAGTTTAAACTCAGTAATAGATGCATTAAAATGCCCACCTCACAGAATTGTTTAAGAATCAGTGAGCACACACAAACTACTCTGTTCACTTTGGAACAACACTCTACCAACGTTAGGTTTATTATCTTTTGAAAATAACATAGAGGGAACTGAAGAATGATTGCTAATGAATGCAGGGTCTCTTCTGGGGTGATAAAAAAGTTTTAAAATTGATTGTGGTGATAGTTGCTAAAATCCATGGAATTGTATACTTTGAATGAGTGAACTGTATGGTATGTGAGTTCTACCTCAATAAAGCTGATATTTTGAAGGTTTTGCCACTATGGCTACTATGCTATTCCCTCCAAATGGTTCTGTCATTCACTCATTCATTCTACAGTTGTTTGTTGATAGTCTACCCTGCACCTGGCTAAGCACTTGGGATACAGAGGTGAAGAGGTAGACATGGTCCCTATTTTTATAGGAATCATGGACTTCAGAGAAGAAATTACACAAGGGTGTTAAGGGTGCTATGTTATGGAAAGTGAGAGGGAACCAGGGAACATACAGCTGAGGAGCTCATCACAGTCTTTGGCCAGATAAGCCCTCAGCTCTGACCTTGGGAGGCTACAGGCAGAGGAAAGAGCATGCGTGGAGGCTCAGTGTGGGGAGAAAGAGCCCTGTGCATCTGAAACACGGAGAGGCAGCCAAGATACAGGAGAGAAGAGAGGGAGGCAGGGAGTGGCAGGCTGGAGAGGCGGGTATGGCCCGGATCACAGAGGGCCTTGTCGGCTTGTGAAGAAGTTTGGGTTCATCCAGTGGGCGACAAGAACCCATGGATGGCGCATTGATCAATTGAAAGGCGGCAAGATCAGAGTTTGTTTCTAGGAGAACCCTCTGGTTGCAATGTGGAAAATAGGTTGGAGGAGAGAAAGGCGCATAATAGATGTTTTAAATATGTAGGAAGGAGAAGTGATAGGATTTGGTGATTGAACTACTTGGATGGGAGGAGGGAGGAAGGGAACTCCACGGTGACTCTGAGATTTTTAGCCGGGCAAGCGGGGGACCGAGGTGAGATGGGGAGTGGCGAAGGAGCAGCCGGGGGCCTTCTGTTCTCTTCTGTTCCCTTCTGTTCCTGAGCCATCAGTGCAAGAACACGGGGGGGCGGGGGGTAGGGGTGGGGCCAGTCATGTTGTGGGTAAGGACCCAGACAATGACGCTGCACTGGCACAGCTATCCTGTTGCTGTTACCTAACTCTTTGTGACTCATCTTCTTGGGGATGAAAACAATAACAGCTTTCTCAAGTGCTGTTGTGAGGATTAGATGAGCTAATATATATATGAAGCACTTACAGCGTGTCTGTAAAGACTATGTAAGTATTAACACATCGTAGAGACGACAAGTGTGTGTCATTGTTGTGGTTATTATACACCCAGAAGGTGAAGTCCAGTGAGCAGTTAGATGTGTGTGTCTGTCAGCAGTCGGAGGCTGTAGATTTTAACGGCAGCAGCAGACGCCAATGCCACTGAAGTCTTTGAGAGTGAAGTCAGCGGGCAGAGGGCCAGGAGAGAGCCTGAGGCGCTCCAATATCAGAGGGACAGGTGGATCCTGCCAAGGGGACCCCAAGGGCATGGCAAAGACACAGGTGTGCACAGATGTTATTTATCTTGGGGCTTCTAGCTGTTGCCACACTTGCCTTGCGGGGTCGAGATTGCCCTGGCTGGAGTGTATCCAGGAGACACCGGTGATTTCAGTAAACAAAGTTCTGAACATCTGTGGCCGGGAACATGTTTTCTGAGTATATTAAAAGACTAAACTATTTTTTACAAAGCCTGAAATACAACTCCTATAAAAACAAGACTCCTTTGGGAACAAGGACCGTCCCTTCACACTCATCACTTCTCTAAGCTTGACCTTGGCACTCTGAGTGTCTCCTTTTCCTCGCCGGGGCCAGCCTGCTTGCACACACATCTTCTTCCACTCCCCACCTGGATCATCAGTTCCTAAGGAAGTGAGAAATGGGGGGAGGGGGGGCAGTAACTGATTTATTTGTTGAGTCCTGTTTATGAGGAACTGCTGCCAAATGATACTTGAAGTAGGTAATAAAAAATAAGTGTTAACTAATGATGGCTGTTGTCTCCTAATGATGGCGAAATAGTTCTGCTCATCTAGCTCTTCCAACTAATCAGTGACAAAAAACTCCTGATAGCATAATTGGCTGTGATATAATCAGTTGACAATGATTCTGTAGATTTTTGTAGCCTAGTTTGCAGAATATTTTCTATAACATCATGAATGAGGCAGTGCCTATCTGTGAGGTTGTCATCATTATGTTCATTTTACAGATAAGAAAACCTGGACTTAGGGAAATAGGTTAACTTGACAAAGGTTTTACACGGTAAGTCAAGAGCCAAGACTATCAGCTGATGGGAGGGTAGAGAAGAAGGGGGGTAGGCAGGTGGCAGTGGGAGCTCCCAGTGCTCCTTGGAAGGGATGCATTGTCTGTAGAGGATTTAAAATAAGAAAACCAAATAAAGGCAGTCTGCTTTTTATTATCACCACTAGAGGCCCAGTGCACAAAATTTGTGCACTGGTAAGGTCCCTAGAGCCTGCCGGCTGCCAGCTGGGGCCTCCCTCCCTTCCCTCGGCTGGCCCTGCCCTCTAATCAAACTCCTGGATGACCTCCCTGTCCAGGGGGCAATTTGCATACTATGCTTTTATTATGTGGGATGAACCAGTAATTCTAAATAATGTTCATAATAAAACACTCTTCCCTGCTGGGCACTGAGAATCTAGCCTTTTCTAGCCTCTGATGGGGATGTTCAGAGAGCAAGTGAGCCTCATTCCCAGTCACACAGAGAGTTCTCTCAGGGCTTTGTAAAGTGTTTCGTGCTCCAAGTCCCTGCCATTGTTAAAACACATACCTTTCCTTTGGGGATGCTCAGAGCCTTGCAGAATTATGCTTTCCCAGGAGCAATAACTGCCATCTGGCCAAATGTCGAGAAGCACCTCAGCCTACTTATCAGAATTTCCCAAGAATCTTCTGGAAGAGCAGCACCTATTCACTCCTTCAGCAAGATGAGCTGAGCATGATGGAAGCAGGAGCCATGGGTGCAGGTGGCTGGCAAGGGGAGGAAGGCACCTACCCCATCCGGCTAGGGTTGTGGGCAACTTCTTTTGATGATGAGCTGGGAGAATTTGTGCCCGAGATCTGGGCCTCCTTGGAGCATACAGCTCACTTCCCTCTGGGCTTTCACTGGAAATAAATGTCCAGAATTCCCCCATCCTGACTGAGAAGGGCAGCTCCAAAACCACAAAGGCTAACAGTATTGGACAGTCTTAGAGGCTAACAGCCCAGACCTGAGTTCCCTGGAACCTAGAGCTCCCGATAGAAACCGGGACATCTCAGGCAAATCAGGAGGGTGGGTCATCTCTTCTTCTAGGGCTGAGATTTCTTTTTCTTAAATATAATTTCATTGATTTCAGAGAGGCAGGGAGAGGGAGAGAAAGATAGAAACATCAATGATGAAAGGGAATCATTGATTTGGCTGCCTCCTAAACACCCTCTACTGGGGATCGAGCCCACAAACCGGGCATGCGCCCTTGACTGGAATGGAGCCCGGGACCCTTCAGTCTGGAGCCAGCCGCAGGGCAGGCTCACAGGAGCTCCAGGAAGACCCTTGGGCGGAGTTTCTCAACAGCAGCACTTGGAATTGTATGCAGGGTAACTGGGGAGGAGGAGGGAGTGCACTGTAGCAAGTTTAATAGCATCTCTGGCCTCCACCCACTAGCTGCCAATAGCCCCACCCTATTGTGACAATCAAAGATATTTTCAAATGCCTCCTGGGAGGGAAAGCAAAATTGCCCTCAGCTGAGAGCTGCTGCCCTAGAGAGATGTCATTTGCTACCTTCCCCAAGAATTCAGGACTGTTGGGCACAAATCAAGGCCAGTAGAGGGGTGTCCTGGCTTCAGGCTGGGCCCAGCCACCTCATTTGCCCACATGGTAGCCTAATGGCTACACACCCCTCCCCTGTGAGAAGAAGCAGAGTTAGCCTGGTCGCTGGGGTCCCCTGGTAACAGTGCCACCTGGGCAGTTGCCCCTAAACAAGCTCTTCCCACTGGGCATTTCAAGGATCACCTCCTGTCCTATGAGATGCTCTGTGGGGAAATAAAAGGAGGCAGGAAGAACAATGAATACATGTCAATTCACTAAGTGCATTCGATCTTGAAGGCTCTGAGAAATCTTGCAAGAAAGACACCTGCTTAAATGTTACAACCCAGACTTATGCCCAGGTCAGTGATGGCGAACCTTTTGAGCTTGGCGTGTCAGCATTTTGAAAAACCCTAACTTAACTCTGGTGCCGTGTCACATATAGACATTTTTTGATATTTGCAACCATAGTAAAACAAAGATGTATATTTTTGATATTTATTTTACATATTTAAATGCCATTTAACAAAGAAAAATCAACCAAAAAAATGAGTTCATGTGTCACCTCTGACACGCGTGTCATAGATTCGCCATCACTGGCCTAGGTCAACCTGTCCATGAAGATGGAAACTCAAGGGCTCCATCTCTGGACTATGGGTTATTTGGAAACTCTGGCGCCCTCCCTGGAGTTTCTGAGCATGTCCAGAGGGCTTGTGATCTTATAGTCACTTCTGGCTCTGAGTTCAGCCTCCAGCTGAATTGTCCAACTTATTCATATCACCCCTCTTCCCACTTCCCCCTCATTTCTGCTCTGTGCGGACCAGATGTGGGTTTCAGTTGCCTTTGCATGATTTCCCTTCCCCTGAACACCTGCTCCGGCATTGCGGAGGTTCATAGCAGAGGGTGTCTTTCTGTGCTTTTAGCCCCTTTTCCTTAGAAACTTTCCTCATTATCTCCCTACCTCGTGATTCATCCAGCCTCCCCCTCTCGCACCCAACTCCCTTCTCCTCACTTTATTGTACATAGTAACTTCGCTTTCCCTTCCTTGTTTGATCTCTTGGACCTACTTTTGCACTTTCGAAGCCTTGTTAGCAGGTGGCTACATAATTTATCGTTCAAACTATGACACTTTTGAGAGTGAAAGGGGACCTAATGATATGTTGCGGGAACAAGAGGCATCCACCAGGAAAGTCCCCAGAAAACCAGGGCGCATGATCACCATACATCTCTGCTACAACAAAGCCTCTCTACGCCGGGATGCGCTGTTTATCAACCCAGAAAACATGGCAGAGGCTTGGAAATTGTCCTGTTTCCTTCCCACCTTCTCCCCTCACCATCCCTATAAGAGGATAAAGCGAAGGGTGTGTTTTCTTATTGGTAGTGGCTTCCAACAGCTCTGGCTGTAAGTGAAAGGTGATTTGTCTTTTCTCCATTACTCTGTTCATTATTTCCCAAACTTATTTGGTCGTAGATCTCCTTTCCTCTCTCCATCCCAATGCCCATTAACATCTCCCAGAACTAGAACACACTCTGGGGAACTTTGAGTCCAGAGGGAGGGAGGATTGTCTGTCTCCGCTGTCACTGAAATCGCCTTGGGTGATGACAGGATTCAGGTGGAGTGGAGACCAGGAATCTAGCTTCAATGAATGAGGGAGAAATCCGAGAGTGACAGAGGGTGGTACAAGCAAAGGCACGATCCCCAAAGGACCAGGGGGCTCTGTACTAATGTTCTACAGATAATGCTGTGGGAAACACTGCCTGGGATCACTGGGTCCCAAACTCTGGAGCTGATTCGCTGCACAGATCTCATCTCCTATGCCCCCCACCCCCATTCCTGGCACACGTATCTCCTTGCTGTTCTTGGACCATGTAAGGCTCACTCCACCTCAGGGCCTTTGCACCTGCTGCGCCTTCCACCTGAATGCTCTTCCCATGGATCCCCAGGTCTCACTCTCTCACTTCCTTCCCTGACCATGACCTTCCCTGACCATCTAAGAGCAACTCACTCCCACCTGGTAGGCCATACCTGCTCAGACTGGCTTTAGTTTTTGCCATGGCACATGCCACCATCTGGCAGCCTATGTATTTGCCTGTTTATTTGTCCACTGCCTGTCTTCCCCTCCTAGACAGGAAGCTCCAGGAGGACAAAGATTTGTCTGTTGGGTTCACTATCATAGTCCCAGAGTCTAGATCATGGTGGTATTTAATGAAGGATTTAAATGAAGGGAAGCAGGAGTGGACAAATTGCAAAGTTTAGACATCTTCCAAAGTTCCCCTGGGAGCTGTGCCTGGTCAGTGGTGACATGTAGCCCACTTCTACCAGGTCCTCCTTCCCCAGCTCCTTTCCCAGGTGGGAGCTCACCAAGTCTCACTCCCTCAGTAAAGCAGCCCCCACCCTTGGTATATTGTCCAGATACCCAGGAGTGTCAGTCATTCAGCCTCCACAGTCATGAGCATGCTCATAATGACCTCCTACAGGGCGCTAATTCCCTACAGGGCAGAGCAGGAGAGGCAAGATCCAGAAGCTGGGCCCTGAATAGCATGAACTCCCTCCTCAGCCCTAACCTCAGGAGGGGCAAGAGCTAGAAAGGACTCCCGTGTTGGCCCGTCCCTCTCAGGGACCTGGGGCTATGGGTATTGGGAAAGACATGTCCCTTGTCTTTTACGTCACTTCTTTCCCGTAGAATTTTACTTTGTTTCCAATAAATAAGAAGAATACACATTTCCCTCCATCAGAATATGTTTTATGCATTTCTTAAGCACGCACGCACACACACACACCTAATGCAAAAGCTGTATCAGGATCCAGCTGGAGCACAGATCTGACTCTCCACGCTGAAGCATCTCATTGGCTTCCCATCATTTGAATACAATGGAGGCATATTCCACTTGGTCTGGCGATGTCCTCCTGGAGCGATCAAAAGGGGGCATGTTGGCATAGACAGCGAAGTCATCCTCTTTCCAGGGGGCCAGGTGGATCACGTTGGAATATATGGCATCAGCATGGCAGGAAAGCTCCTTTAGAGATAGGACCCTGTTAGAGTCAGGTGGCTGGGCACAAAAGACTTCCAGAGACAAGACTTACGACTGGGCTCCCTACGGGACAGGAAGTGGAACACTGGGTTCTTGCTGAACAAGCCCTAGATCCTGCTCAGTTTTCAAAAACATTCCTTTTAGAGCTGTTCTTTGCCTCACCCCCACCTCCATATGAGATCCATTTAGGAAAGAGCATGAAATCATGGTGGAGATGGCTGGGAGATGAAATCATCTAGATATGACTCAACTCTTTCCTTACCGAGGATTTGTGGAGAAAGTTGGTCTGATGCCTCAGTTGTTTCTTAAAAAGTCCTAGAAAAATTAATAAACTCAGAGTCAGCCTGAGCTGGAGCAGTAACTACCTTTACTTGATCAATTGCTGGACTTAGGGTTGAACTTTGAAGTTCAAAATCCACTATGTTCAACCCATTGTGCCTCTGAGACTGAGCTAAATGCCCAGGAAGAGAAAGAATTGGTACACTATAATGTTGGTTATTATTTAGATGAGATTATTTGGCATCAACAGTTCTTTTAGTTGATGCACATAAAAATAAGTATATATGCAGATTGCTTATACTGTATACAGCTTTCAGCATAAGGAATTTGTATCATAAATAAATCTTATTGCTACATGCAGAATCCATGGCAACTCCAGAGAACAGACCCCAGAGCTTACCCACTCTTCCTCTTTCCCAAAGCTGCCCCACAGGAAAGATACCCCCAAGTCCAGCTCCAGTTTCCCCCCTTCCTACATTTCCAGTTCTTGGGCCAACTCGTTGGACTCACTCTCATGCCTCCATTTCTTCAGGGCCAGGGACAAGAGACCCCCTAGGAGCAAGATGAGGACCACAACACCAATGGAGCCAGAAACAGCTCCTGCTGTGCCGAAGCTGAGGAGAGCAAATAAGAGAAAGGAGGACACTCCAGCTGCCCTGTCTGGCTTTGGTGGTGACCATCCACACAATCGCCCTGGGGCCTCCCCTCTCCGGTAGGAGCTCTCCTACCTCTGGGCTTCCATCTGCTGCCTCCATTTTGAGCCTCTTTTCTCTGCCCCAGTCTCCCTGGCCATGGTCCCATTCACACCAGGCCGAGAAGACCCTTTCTCCAAAACCCTCAATACTCCTCCTTAGGGCCAGCCCTTCCCTCACCCACCTGCTACGTCCTTCAGGTGTAGTCTCTGGCTTCAGGGTGGTGATGTTCTCTGCAAAAAGGGACAGGGAGGAAAAGAGAAGGAGATTTGAGAGTAATTTTTACACACAGGCTCTATCCTGAATGTTTGTGTCCTGCCAAAATCCATATTTTAAAACCCACTCCCTAATGTGATGATTAGATCATGAGGGTGTGGCTCTCATGAATGGATTAGTGCCCTTATAAAAGTGTCCTGGAGAGCCGCCCACCCCTCCTACCTATGAGGACAGACTGCAAGATAGCTGTCTATGAACCAGGAAGCGGGCTCTCACCAGACTGAATGTGCCAGTGCCTTGATCTTGAACTTACCAGCATCCAGAGCTATGAGAGATAAATTTCTGTTGTTTATAAGTCACCCAGTCTACAGTAATTTGTTATACCAGCTGGAACTAACACAACACGCATGCAAATAAGCTCTACAGGATCTACACGTGTCTTTATTGGGGACTTAATCTGTGCAGGGCACATTATTTCATTTAAACTTCAATGAGATAGGAACAATTACTATTCCCATCTTACAGTAAAGACACAAGCTCAGGGTCATAGAGGTAGAAAGTAGCTGAGTTTGGAACTTGACCCCCCTTCTCTCTGACTAAAACTATGTCTTTAAGTACACGACACGGTGCTGACTTTGTGTGATCATTTTACCCCTGAGTTCTATTATTCTTACAAAGGGTTAAAGGTTTCCATATATGACAGGATGTCCAGAAAAAAGAAAACCAGGATGGTGGAGTTCTTTGGTGCCCTGGGAAGGGCATGTGAGGGGTGAGACGAGCATGTGAGGGGTGGGAAGGGTCAGGACATCAGCCAGTTGGACTGGAACTAGGTAGAGGTGGCAGGTGTGAGAGCCTGTCCATGCTCTGGTGGTGGTGGTGGTGGTGGTGTTCTATTATTCATACTTTGAAAAAAACTTCTCCTTCTTCAAGGGATGGAGACCCCAAACTCATCCCCTCTCCAGCCACATCGATCCCTGGATTTTTGGAGTTAGAAGGAATCTTAAAACATATCTAGCCAAACTCTCCTGCTGTACAGGTGAGGACACTTAGGGAAAGCCACGTGCCCCAGGTAAGTGCTGAATCCAGGACCTGAGTCCATGTTTTCAACTCCAACCCCAACGCTCTCTCCCCTCACACCCAGGCCTCTTCCTGTTTCTTCCCCCAGAGCATGGAGCTGCATGATTCAACCCCTCAGAGCAGGCAGCACCTCTCCACACCCATGTTTGGGGACCTGCTACTCAGACACCCAAAAGCAAAGATTGCTGCCAAGGTGGGGTGAAGGGAACCAAAGCAGTTTGACAGCTGTTCATGTAGAAAATAATACAACAGTTAATAAATAATCATACAAGAATAAACTATTTCGAGTACTAACAACTGTAAACCTACTTTTGCCACACGGGATCCCTAGGGCAATCTGCCAAGAAATAGCCTTCAGAGGTGGGAGCAGCAAGAATCACAGCCTCCTGCGGCACCAAAGCCAAACGGCATTGTGTCAGGCACCCACTGGCACACTTCCTCTCTGCCTCTTTCCTGTCCCCCTTCTGAGTAAGTTGGCTGACCTCACGACATTTCTCTTCGACAGCTCCTGCCCACCTTCTGGGTGAGGGGTAGGGAGGGACCTTGGAAACCAGATCAACCCAGTGCCCACAGCACTGACACCCAAGATGAGGTACCAAGTCACAGGGCTTGATGTGTGGGGGAGTAGGGTGGGGTGAGATGTCACATGTAAGTCTGGAGCAATGAGAGGGGAGCCTGGGGCACCAGCTGGGATTGACTGGGGTAGGGCACACCTGTTACCAGCAAGAAGGACAGACAGCATGAGGGTGTCTGTCTGTGGACAGAAAGACAAGGACACATCCTGGGAGGGCAGGGGCGAGTCAGAGGGGATGAAGGGAATAAGCATGGAGGATGATGTCATGAAAGAACCTGAGATTTAGAGTCCAGTGACATGGATCATAGGCACTTCCTAACTGTGTGATCTTAGGACAGTCACTTCATCATTCTGAGCCTCGTTTTCTTCATCTGTGAGATGGGTATAGCATGAATACCTACATCGCAGGGTTCTTTAAGACCTAAATGTTCAAACTATTATTTAACAGTAAGTAATAGCCACTTTGCCCATTTTCAGCTGGTCTTACCCCAGCAGAGCAATGCTGTGAGGTTATCCAGGGAGGCGTTGCTGCCTCTGGAGTCCTGGTACCTACAGTTGGTCCAATTCATTTCGACAAGATTCCACTCAGGGGGTTCTCATCCCAGGTCCTGAGGTTCCTGGGACAGGTGGTCCCCTTTCACTGGAAGCAGAATTTCTCAGAGGCGTTTTGCAGCAGCTGGCGGACACAGGACCCCAAAGAAGCTGGCACCCCTCTTTCCCTTCATCTCTATTTCTTCACAGGAACCTGTTGGATGGGGACAATGTTAGCATCTCACCACTGGAGGGGAGGTCCTCCAAAGGCATTGAGATAGCATCCTCGCTTAAGGAAGGCATCTTCAGCTAGGCCAGCGGTTCTCAACCTGTGGGTCACGACCCCTTTGGCGGTCGAACAACCCTTTCACAGGGTTCGCCTAAGACCATCCTGCATATCAGGTATTTACATGACGATTCATAACAGTAGCAACATTACAGTGATGAAGTAGCAACGGAAATAATTTTATGGTTGGGCCACAACATGAGGAACAGTATTTAAAGGGCCAGAAGGTTGAGAACCACTGAGCTAGGCCTTGCCGAAGCACGTGGTCCAAAGTCACCCCCCACCCCACCCCCCCTTTCTGCCACATCACACTCTGGCCTATTAGTCTATGAATTCACCTCGATCATTTATTCGTTTACTTTATTGTTGTCAGACTCTCTTCACAAGAATGTAAGTTCCACAAAAACAGTGCCTATCTGTTTAAGTCATCACTCTATCCCCAGGGCCTAGAACAGTGCCTCATGCCATGAATAGGTTCGATATATGTGTGTTGGATAAATGAGTGAATGAATGAATGAATGCCATAGACTCCTTTACAGCACCCTGACAGGGACCACTCAACCCCTGTTAGATCATGGCGAACCTCCCCCACAGACTTCTGAATCCCTTAGTTGTGGGCAAATCTTTACCCCTGCAGGAGAAGTTGATTAGAAACAGCCCAAAGTCACTCTGAACCAACCAAATTTGATAATAATGTAGGAAAATTGACCCGGGCAACACCAATTCTGGAGAAAGAGGAGCTGTGCCTACCAAACTCCTAGAGCAATGTCCTGGAGGAGCCTGGAGGAGGTGCCCTGCCTGGGGGTGTGGGTGGCCTGGGAAAGAGAGTGGGAAAGATGCAGACCCAAGCCTTACATCCTGCCATGGCCTGCAGCCTCCACTTCAGGTGGGGGGCGAGGAGAGAGTTGTGTTTGAGATCAAATGAAAGAGGATCTGGCACCCTCTGGCCCCCAACCCCCTACCTCCCCCCCAAAGAGATCTGGGGGAGCAGTGGGAAATCCCCCCTGACAGGAGCCCTGCTGGCGTGATGACTCACTCAGCCTGCCTGGACCCAGTTTCCCCATTTGTGAAGCGAGGAGAGAGTGAGAAGAAGAAGACACGGTGACAAAAATGACTGGTTCTTTTCCCAAATGCACCTCATTGCCTCCTTCTAGTGTCCCCTTTGCACTGGCCACCTTATCCATCGTACATGCCTCCGAATAATCCTACTATTCCTCAAGGAATACGAAGAACACTTTTGGGGACGATCAGGGTTAGGAATTATTTTTATTTTTAATTTTGGAAGGAGAAAGGGATATCATAATTTTTTTCAGTTTGGGGCTTCTACAAGTTTTTGTTTTATTCGGTAACATTCCTTTCATTCAGAATGTAAAAGGTACGAAATGATAGAGGCTTTCCCACCCTTTACGCCATCCAGCCAGTTCCCCTCCCTGAAAGCAATCGCATTTCCAGTTTATGTGTGCCGTATGCCTACACGAGCAAACACAGACACACAGACATGTGGACACACACACGGCACTTGGAACATGCTGTTCTCCCCCTGAATGAACATCTGAAACCATTGATAAAAGAAGAAGCGCTGGGCACCTGAACATGAAGGGGAGCTGTCACCATGGATGGTGGAAAGGAGGAGGGACAGAACCCTGGGAGTACAGGGGACAAGAAAGCTCACAAACTGGACTTCAAGAGCCCTGTGTGGCCCTGACTGGTTTGGCTCAGTGGATAGAGCGCCGGCCTGCGGACTGAAGGGTCCCGGGTTCGATTCCGGTCAAGGGCATGTACCTTGGTTGCAGGCACATCCCCAGTAGGGAGTGTGCAAGAGGCAGCTGATCAATATTTCTCTCTTATCTCTTACTCTCTGTAAAAAATCAATAAAATATATTTTTTTTTAAAAAAGAGCCCTGTGTGGACCAAGATCACGTCTGATGTGACTTATCCTCCCAGCACGCAGGCCAGTGCCTGGAACGTAGCAGGCCCACAGTAACTGCTTCATGAGTGAATGAAAGATTAGATCCCCTTTTCCCCAGGCCGGCCACACAGACGCACGCACGGCTGTAATCAAGCAGGGCCATCAGGAGTGGAGGGGAGGGAGATGTTTAAGCAAGCTTCCTCCTCGCTTCCTCTGAAGTAAATATTCTCACCATTTCTGGGACTTTAAATGTTTTTCTGGTTGTTTTTGCGAAATGTCATTTCTCAAAATAGAAACACTGTGTTTAGAAACCTCTTGAGGTATATAACGGAGTCATTGACTGGCTGGAGGTTGCTTTAAAGAGCACACCTTATGTTTTCAGTTTTCACGGTGGCTTCTTTGCAAGCCTCAACCAGCTGCCTGCACATTCGGCGTCCTAAGGAAAGCAGATCGTCCGCCTCTTGGGCTCCTTCAGAAGAGATCACCGGTGGACATGTGACCCTAACAACTGTCCACAGGTGACTTCACAGGAATGGACCCCAATTTCAGCAGAATTACTGCACGTATACCTCATTTGGTTTGGAAAATATAATACAATTTTTTAAGAAAGCATATTTTGCCTTGGCCGGCTTGGCTCAATGGTTAGTTAGAGCATCGGCCTGCAACTGAGGGTCGAGGGTTCAATTCCCGGTCAAGGGCACATACTTGGGTTGCAGGTTTGATCCAGGGCCCTGGTCAGGGCACATGCAGGAGGCAACCAATTGATGTGTCTCTCTCACATCAATGTCTCTCTCTCCACTCCCCCCCTTCCCTTCCACTCTCATACTGTCTCCTAATTTCATTCACTACTCAGAACTGGGGACGTCTCCTATGGCCTCCAGGTAGCAGTTGGAAGGATTAGGTGTACTTAGCCCCATTTGTAGAAGAGGTAACTGAGACTTCGTAGGGCAGTGATGGCGAACCTTTTGAGCTCGGCGTGTCAGCATTTTGAAAAACCCTAACTTAACTCTGGTGCCGTGTCACATATAGAAATTTTTTGATATTTGCAACCAGAGTAAAACAAAGATTTATATTTTTGATATTTATTTTATATATTTAAATGCCATTTAACAAAGAAAGTCAACCAAAGAAATGAGTTCGTGTGTCACCTCTGACACGCGTGTCATAGGTTCGCCATCACTGTCCTAGGGAGTGGTGAGTGAATTGCCCAAAATCACAGCAAATAGCGTGAGGACACAGACACAGGTCTCATGATCCCTCAGACCCGTGGTTCTCAACCTTCCTAATGCCGCGACCCTTTAATACAGTTCCTCATGTTGTGGTGACCCCCAATTTCATTGTTACAAATTGAACATAATTAAAGCATAGTGATTAATCACCAAAAACAATATATAACTATATGTGTTTCCTGATGGTCTTAGGCGACCCCTGTGAAAGGGTCGTTCGACCCCCAAAGGGGTTGCGACCCACAGGTTGAGAACCGCTCGCTGCCTTAGACTGTCCTCCATTTCCTGTGCATGTATTCAGGAGCACTTTGTAGCGATGAGGGCCACATCAATGTTTGGAATAGCCAAGGACGGTTGTTTAAGATGTCAGTAAACAAATTTCCTGACAAGGAAAATCTTTACACCATATTGTCGATCAACAAGAGGCAGGTAACGACAGAACGTCAGTGATCAGAGGCAACGAAATTGCCCAAAGGCAGCCTGGCACAACTGAAGCTGCCTGCGAACCCAGAAGAAAAAAAAAAATCACATGGGAGTAAAAGTTCTTTTTCCCATCCTAAATGTTCCTTTCTACTTGCAGAACATTCATTCTTGCGTCTAACAAATCTCACAATTTGTCTTGCTGCTCTGACCTCTTTCTAGTGACATTTGCTACTTGGAATGTAGGTCAGTGAAGCAGCTTTGCAGGAACCTGTCCTTTTGCCATGACTCTGTTTTGATACGTGACGGGCAAGGGTGAGGCTGTCTCCACTTTCCTGGGATTCTATTTTAAAACACACGTCAGTCCATGTCACCTTAATCCGGTGCACCCCGTGCCTGAGCCTCGTTACAGTCAGTTTGTATTTAGCAACGCCCTGTGCAGAGTAGATGTTAAATGGATATAGGTGTAAAGTGAGGGGAACCAGGGCGAAGAAAGAGCCTGCCAGAGCCCGTTGCCTGGAGCAAAGACGCGGGGTTCTAGTCCCGGCTGCTCCTGCCCTCCACTCTCCTGTCTGCCCTGCTCCCTCCTCACCTGCTGGACATTCCAGCCAGTTTTCCT